TAGACCTCATGGTTTGTAGTCCATTCCTCAACATAATCCTATAGACCTACATGTATTTTGTGACAAGTTTCTATCATACACATTTCGATCCATTTTTATGGGTAGCTAAGAATCCTTGCAGTTTGACTGGATGGATAGAAGTAGCAGTTAAACGGAACTTAAAAACCTGGAGAACAGGCAGCAACCTAGGAGGAGTGGACATCTGAGTGGCGTAGCAAATGCTAAGTAGAAAGGCAGTGGCAGCAACCCGTGGGAACTGAAGTTTTGACAGAGCAGTTAGGCTGTGGAGTTGGCATAAAGGAGAGGAGAAAGGGGTACCTGAAGGGCAGCTCTCATGTTAGAACTGTGCATTTAATATCTGTGCCAAGGCCACATATGTCAGCCTGGCCCAACGTAGAAAAAAGCTACCGTGGGACAAAACCCTGTTTTGCCACGAGAGCTGATAGTTCGTGCATTGGTGATGTCAGCTAATCTGTACATATGCTTTGTGGCTCAGTCTGAGTAGTTCTTCCTGTTAGCGCAGATAGCCTGCACCCCAGACTTCAAAATCACACTCAGTACTCAGACTGCACTGAGACTGATGAATCCTAAATGGTGTTTGAACAGGAGGATTTGTTCAAAATACATTGAAAGAGGGATTAGTAAATTATTGACTAGTCTTGCAGATTGATCAGTTATAATTTGATTGGTTTTCTTAGATGAAAAAATGTTTTTGTCAGTTCTAAGAAGGAACTAAATGAGGGCCAGACATTGACTTTCAGGTCATCATTGCCTCAGGGACTTTGATTTACTAGGGTTTTATAATGGTTGGAAAAAACATTGGTCCTGTCACCTCTTCTCACTAGGAATTCAGCAACCTCCAGTCTTTTGCAGTAGATGCTTTCATCGAGGAGAAAAGAGGGAAGAAAGGGAGAAGGGAAAGAAGGGAATTAGGGATCTTTCATCTAAGGCACATGGAGGACAGGGAATGATTCGGGACAGCCAGCATGGCTTCACTAAAGGCAAGCCCTGCCTGACCCTAGTGGCCTTCTGTGGTGGAGCGACTACATCAGTGGACAAGAGAAGGGCTACAGATGTCATTTATTTGAGCTTCTGTAAAGCCTTTGCCACAGTCCCCTGTAAGGTGCACATGTCCTTATATAATAAGGAAAAACACGCTCCTCGTGAGGTGGTGAACAAAGAGGTTTATTTCAAATTCGGTGCTGGTTTTATCCCTTAAAACCATGTGACTTCTTTGACCAATAAGGTTGTCTATGTTGGCGCATGCTCCCTCGGGCTCTTGCCTTGGTACCCTGTACCTTAAACACGCCCCCTACAGTCCCCCACAATATCCTTTGCTCTGAATTGGAGAGAGATGGATTTCATGAGTGGACTGTTAGACGGGTAAGAAAGTGGTTGGACAGTCGCATCCAGAGGGTAATGGGCATCAGTGACAAGTGGTGTCCCTCAGGGGGCTGTAGTGGGCCAGTGTTAATATTGTCACTGATGACATAGATGAAAGGGTTGAGTGCACTCTTGGCCGATTTTCAGATGACACTAAGCTGAGTGGTGCTGTTAACACACCTGAAGGATGGGGTGCCATCCAGAGGGACGTGGGCAAGCTTGAGAAGTGGGCCTATAGGAATCTCACGAGGTTTAATAAGACCAAGTGCAAGGTGCTGCACCTGGGTTGGGGTGCCAGACTGGGGGATGAATAGACTGAGAGCATCTTTCAACCCAGACCATTCTGTGAACCTATGATTTTGTTATCCTCAGTATGAAAGGTCTTTCCTTTTCTGTGCCTCTAGGTTTATCGTTTGTTAGAAGGGTCAGATGAGAATGTAACCTCTCTTTTTTACACTAGGATTTTCTGTTGTCATGTATTGGGTGAGGTACCTTTTTCATGCTGAAGGTGATGCTCAAGAGAAGGAATTCTTCTAAATCAGAGTTGCAGGGGGTGCTAATGTGGGAGTGTGAAGCCAGATCCAGAATGTAACTTTGCTGTTGGCACTCTTCTCTTACATTTCAATGTTTTCTGTGAAGTTGAGTTTGAATATTTCAAAACATATCTGATATGATAAAACAGCTATGAAGGTATGAACAACTAGTAGAAGCTGTGTATTACCTTGCTTTTCTTTAAAGCTTTTATGGGCTAAGGGAAAGGGAAATCAGATTAGTATGACTGCTTTTATTTTAAGTTGATTTAACTTTTAATTAGCTCATTAACTGAGTAAGAAGGGCTAAAAATATGAAAGCAAAGAATATATTTTCTACAACAGCAAGAAAGGCCAATATTAACAAGGGAGGGGGAGAGGGGATGCACCGTTGCAGCAGTTCAGAAGAGACTATTGGGGATTGCTTTTTGTTTTAGCTGGTTAACTAGTGATTTCTATGTGTTCATCAAACTTTTACTTTCTTCACAGCTTTAGTAGGGAGTATAACTGTTGAAAGAGATCTTAAAGATCAGCTAGTCCCAACACCCCTGCTGTGAGCAGAACACTAGAGCAGGTTGCTCAGAGCTCCATCAAACCTGCTTTAAACAGTGCCAGGGATGGGCATCCACAAATTCCTTTGGCAAGCTGCTCCAGTGCATCCTTATCCTCTGAGTAAAGAATTTCTTCCTAATACCCAATCTCAACCTACTCTCTTTCAGTTTGAACCCATTCCCTCTTGTTGTGCCACTCCACCTCTTGTAAATAGTCCCTCTCCATCTTTCTTGTAGGTTCCATTCAGGTAATGGAAGGTTCCAAGTAGATCACCCCAAAGCCTTCTCTTTTCCAGGCTGAACAAACCCAGTTCACAGAATCACAGAATTGCTATGATTGGAAGGGACCTCTGGAGTTGCACAGGAACATATCTAGAGACAGGTTTTGAACATTCCGGAGAGGGAAACTCCACAACCATCCTCTTGACACCTGCCTTTGAGATATTTACCCCTTTCAGTCTTCTCTAAACAGGCCCAGCTCCCGCAGTCTCTTCTCATAAGAGAGAGGATGCCATGGGAGATAGTGTCAAAAGGTAGATAAGTCAAGGCAGACAATATCCACTGCTCTTGCCTTGTCATCCATCCTGCCATGCCACCACAGAAATCAAGCATGATTTCTCCTTGGTGTATCCCTGTTGACCATTCCTGATAACTTTCTTTTCTTCTACATACTTGGTGATGACCTCCGGAATGATCTGTTCCATCACCTTTCCAGGGTCCGAGGTTAGCCTGACTGGCGGCTAGTTTCCCAAATCCTTCTTCTTGCCTTTTTGAAGATGGGAGTAACACCAGTTTTTCTTCTGTCATCACGCACCTCTCCTTTCTCCATGACTTTTCAAAGATGATGCAGAGTGACTGAACAACAACATCTGCCAGCTCCCTCAGCACCCATGGGTGCATCCGATCAGGGCCCATAGATTTATGGGTGTTAAGTCTCCCTAGTTGATCTCTAACCCAACCTTTTACGACCAAAGGGGAGTATTCCTTTCTCTAGCCTTTCTCTCTTACAACCAAGGTCTGGGATTCCTAAGGGATGGCCTCAGCAGTAAAGACTGAAGCAAAGCAGGCACTCAGTAATTCTACCTTCTCTGTGTCTTCCATCACCAGGACACCCATCTGATTCAGCAGCAGCCCCACACTTTCCTTAATCTTCCTTTTGCTGTTGACATACTTGCACAAGGCCTTCTTTTTGTCCTTGATATCCCCTGACAGACTCAATTCCAAGGGGTCTTGGCTTTCCTCATCACATCCCTGCATACCCTGCCGATATTCCATATAGTTCTCCCATATGGTCTCTTTTTCCACATCCCATAAATTTCTTTCTTCTGCTCATCCATGCAGGTCTCCTGCCAGCTTGCTTTATTTCTTGCTCATAGGTATACATTCGTCTTGAGTTTGGAGGAAGTGCTGCTGTTTTCCCTGGGTTTATATTTTGAACCTTCATGGAAATAATTTAAATGAAAAATCAGATTTGTTTTGCTAAACATAATTTGCCTTAACAATTTTCCATTTTAAAAACCCCAGTGTCTAAGAATTGCTCCTCCTCAATTCCTACTGGTTGAATATAAATAAGGAAAGTTCAAAAGCAGTGTTGTGGGTTGTTTTGTTTTTTTTTTCCATTCAGTTTACTTTTATGTTCTGCTTGTAATTTAAAGTTTACTTGAAAGGTTTTAATAGTTTCCTGCTGTGATCACGCTTTTCTAAGTGGAAAAACAGGTGTGTGTACTCAAAAGACAGCGTTGAAAATGTAATTGTAGCTTACAAATAAGAGAATGGGTGGGTGATTATCCAAGGGTAAGATGAGCTCATGGTACACCTAATGTAACTGCCATGCGCAAATGTTTTCCTGTGATAAAAATAAGGTGTTTTATCCTTTCCAGAGCAGCTGATCCAATATATCCCTATTTTCCTGTACCCTGAAGCATCTTTATTGTGCACTCCTATCCAGAGTTACAGTAATGCACTCAAGGCCAAAATTTAAAAGGTGAAGATAAGTTTATTTTGGATAATAGGCAGCATTGCAGTGAGAACAATCCAGTACAGATACTTGGATTTTGTAGGTACCATCTTCAAGAGTAAAGCTCGGAATGCTGTTTTTTTAATTACAAAAGAGGTGATGTAAAAATGAAATGTACTATGACTGGCAGCTGAGGCATCGGAGTCTTAATAAATCAGAGTGTTTAACAGAATGGTTTTCCTGGGTTATGTAGCTTGTGTATAGCGATCTGTCACAGTTTGAAATGGAAGATTCAGGAATAGCCCACTTGAGCTTGATCTATTCGCGAAACCTTAAATATTTGAAGAAGTTTTTTTTAACAGTCTGGCAAAATAAAACTCAACTGCTTACATGTATAAACAAAAAATTATTGTTTTCTACTTTTAATACATAATTATATCAATGATTTGCAGTGTAGCTCAAAATCCAGTATTTACCTTCAGTGAGAACATACTTTTCTTGTCTAGTATTTCCACTTGGTTCAAAGACTTTAATTAATTTGTAACTGCTAAAGTCTCTCTTCTTTGTGTCTTGTTCTAGGATGTTTTTGTATTTAGACATGAACTTGCTGTCCTAAGAATATCTGCCTTCATGGGTCTAATAATATTAGGTGGAATAAGTCGACTCTTTTACACTCAGCTAATGGGTATTTTCACTGTAAGTATCTAATTTTAGAAGTATATATTAATTTTATTTTCAGTACAATTAACAAAAACAGAAAAACAGATTGTATCTAAGGGAAGAATAGAAAAACACTTGCACTGTGAGGTACCTGTTTGGTATGTGGTGTGTCAAGACTCTTGACACCAAGAAGTCTTAAGAAGTTTTCTAACAAACAAATGTGTGATAAGTCTGGCTATCAAGTAAATTTCCTGTTTTGTATTAGTGAAGTAAACCCATACATTGTCATGGAATTTTACAGTGTACAAGGTATGTATTTGCGGGTTTTGATTTTTGGTTTTATTTTAAACTCTCATGTGTCTGGTCTGAATTATGTGACAGTGAGGCCCACTAATAAGTCATACATTCTGAGAATACAGAATTCTTGTTAAGTATTTTAATAAATATGCTTATGCTCGTATCTCTTTAGTTGTTTAACTGGGGAATATAACCATGTGCGATTTACAGTCCAAATGCATACTCTATATTTAAAGGTACCAAAAAAAAAAACTTTCGCATGGAAAAATTTTCCAGATAGATGAATTTGGTAATGTAATAAATATGTACAAGAAATTAGCTTTTTTTAGTGTAACATCCTGTTCTGTACATTAGAAGTTAGTAACTTCCAGCAATTGTTTTAAAGTTACCTTATGAAACCATATACATGTTTAAAATACAGCAGTGTTGAACAGAAAGAGGACATGAGTTGGATCCGTACCTGTCTGAAAGGGTGTATGGTCTTGCCTGCTGAACTTTTTTTTTTGAAGACAATAAAGTACAAGATGACAGCATCTTTCTGACTACAACTGATGGAGATCTGCCTGAGATTTCATTTTGAAATTGGGAAGGTTTGCACAGTATTAACCTTTTTAGGTACAAAATGGAAACCCTTCCAACTGTATTGGGTAATTTATTTGTATAGAATAAAGGACAAAAATTACTGTTTAGTTTTTCCTTCTGTTAGATAAGACATTAATATTGCTTTTTTTGTTTTATTGTATTACCTTTGCATAAGTTTACTGCCTTTTGCTCTTTCTGTGACTGTAGCTATGCTGTGCATTATTTCTGCTGTTCTCCAACTGCTCTACCAGATTGCTTTCTGCACTTTCTCTCAACCCCCAGGTCAACAGATTTACATTTCTGCACCTTTACTGCGTGCCTAATTTCTGTTCCAAGGTCTTGCTGACAGGTTCTATCCTCCTTGTTTAAATGCAGGCATACCACATTTGTGTCTGCATCCTCTAGAGTTGGGATGTTTTTCTGAATTACTACTATGCCTTGTTGGGTATTTAGCTGAAGTGGTCATCATCATGGCCAGTCTTCGCGAATGAAGATTTGGGAAAGGTCTTTACCCTTTGAGCCTGCGCAGTGGATTTTTTAGGTGAGACACAGCGTGCGCTGAACTGAGCCCACCCTTTAATCCTGAGGTTCATCTACCGGGGCCGAGCGAGCTCGGACGGTGGCAGCGAGGTCCTCAGGACGTAGGTTTGTTTAGAGTGACCTTCTCTTAGATGGATGGCCTTACAGGGCTGACGAGCTCCATCTGCCCAGAGGAGTTCCCTGACTGGGAATCAAACCCAGGCCGCAGCGGTGAGAGTGCTGCATCCTAACCACTAGACCACCAGGGGGCCCCCCCCCAGCTGAAGTGGTACGGACCTCTGAATTCTACTCACTGTCACTCCCAGTAACGGGAGAGATGGAAACTCAGGAAGCCTGATTGTTCTCATACTGAAATATGGATGTCTTTTTGATTTCTGTTAAATGGATATATATGAGGAGAAACAAAAAGCCCATGTGATCACTACTGCACTAAACCACAAACACAACACAGAAGAAAACAAGGAACAAACCCTAAGTCTGTCATTCTGTTCTGTGGGCTGCCAGAAGCTAGACTTAGTTTTCGCAGTGACCATCGGCATCCATTCAGGTACTATTACTATGCATGAAATAAAAACATCTTAGACTGAAGCTGTTTCTATCACATATATCTGAAACCTGGAACGTTTCTATTCTGACACAGGATACCAACTGTGCTGTCTCTGCAAAAGGCATGAATACCAATAAGAACCCAGTTGTTACTTCACTGTCGTGAGCCTTAACACCATCAGGCTGTTACCACCACTGCATGCTTATAAACTGCTCTAAAGCCCTTTCTATGTCAGTGGTCTGATACACTGTGAGGTACATCCTATTCACTTACAGAGCTGGCAACTACGCTGGAACAGGTGTGGGCTAACAGCATTTTCAAGTCCAGCCCCCCTTTTTTTTTGTGCTCAAATCATAATTATGAGGATTGCTGAGCTGCAGTATGCCTGGATACTCTCTTTTGTTGTCTTTGCCAATGTGAAACAAACATACTGCAGTAATTGTGGATATGGATGGTCTATGAGAGACAGATGCTGGAAAGTACAGAACTGCATTAAGGCCTCTCACTGCACTCTACCTGCCCCCAGTAGCAGAAGGGCTATTGTGCTTGCCTCGTATGGACAAGTTTTTAGGCTTGTTCGGATTGCTGGGGAAGTAGAAATCCAGTACTGGGATCTCCAAATACTAGTTCATTCACACCATGTTGATGCTGTTGCCTTGATTCATTGAAGAATGTAGGTTGTGTAGTCTATCCCCCACTCAAAGTGTTTCCATACCAGCAACACAATCGTCTTTTCCCTTTTCATTCCTTTCCTCATGATTCTAGAATTGGCAGGAATAAACAATACAGTTACTTTGAGGAAATCTACTTGGCAAGAACTAGTCAGACTTCAAACGAACAAAGCAAGTCTGTTTGTTGAGGTTGTGCTTAGTCTGCAAGTAGTGTCAGAAAATCTTTCTGTACAAATGGCTTTTGATTGCCAGCATTGTAATATGGGGACTTGCTTCCTCCATAAGCACTAACAGCTTTAGCTAGCCAGTGGAAAAGGTAGAGGAGAGGGCAGCAGGTGAGTGTGCAGTTTCTTTGCAGGCTCCCGAAAGACATGCCTGTGATGCATAAAATAGGGAAACAAAGAGTCGGAGTATACCCACCCACAGTGCTGAGCTCACTGTGTGGAAGACATTCAAGTCCTGTAGAAGCAGTGAACCATGGTCACTAAGAAGCAGTAATGTTTCTACTGTGTACTGTACTAGAGTTACTGTTCAGCATCTAACCTTCCTGTATAAATTAAATTTTATCTGAAATGAGGTCTATTTAAAATACTAAATTAATTATGAAATTAAACTTAGTATAAAGTACAGATCAAAATTTAACAGAACAGAGTCATTGAAGTGTAATAGTGCAGTTGAGGTTAATTTGAAAGAGACTCAAAATGCTTGAAGGCATGTATATGCACAGTTAAAGAATTAATGTTTGTTAAAGTATTCATTACTCCATTGCTGCTCTTGAGAGCATTAATTTCAGTGGTTGCTGAAGCTGCCCAAAGGCATGTGCAAGAGATCTGGACAAGAGCATGGGCCTTTTGAAAAATGCTAAGCAACTTTTACTTGTGCTTGTACAAGAGAACAGGTAATACACATTTTCCTGGTTCATGCTCTATGCCTATGTTTGCAGTTCAGCATAAACCAAGATTAATTCCACAGCTCCTGGATGAAAGGTATTTTTTAATAGTAGCAACAGTCAACATTGCGGCTCTGTGATCTAAAGTTTGGTGAATACAAATGGCTGCTAAATAAGTCCAGCAAGCTCAGGTTTGTTAGGTTTTAATACTACTATTTACCTGTATTTCAAATGCTGCCAAAATTGTATTTTTGGAAAAAAAAAATCTAAGATTTGTCAAACTTTAACCCGTTTGTAACGAAAATTCCTGATTCTCCGTAAGATAAACTTGCATGACCATCGTTATATAATTTTCCAGAAATCAAACCAATAGTTTTTGGTTCATCTTGGTAATATAAAGCTAAGGCTGACTTTTTCCAGGAGTATAGGACATGCATATTAAAAAAAACCCCAAATCCTTGATCTTTGTATTTACAGTTTATCCTTTTGTCACTTCAAGAAGATACATACAGTTTAATGTGTAGAATAAATTTGCGTTATGTGACTTTTGTATACAGCATTTTTAGAAACAGTTACTCCTTACTAGAATTGTGCTAAGTGGTAGATTGACAAGCTGTAAGAACTAGCAGAAGGTTTTCATGTTTCCTTTAATAGGCATTTTCACCTCTTGGATACATTTTTCTGAAGTCAAGAAATGTCCAGCTGAATGCATAATGGAAAGGATATAACTGATATCCTGCAGCACGTTTTTCTGGAACAGGACAGTAGCTAAAACAGAAAAGCAAAGCAGCATATTACCAAGTGCAGGTGAAGTTATTCAGCCGTGTGTGCTGGCACTTTGCAAAATTCAGGTTGTTATGCAGTTGCCTGATCTTCTGTGCCTATCATTGCATAGCTGTCATTAGTTATAACAGTAGATTAATTTCTTTAAGAAAAATACACATGTATTCTGCTGTTATCCTGTTTCATGTGTGTTCAGCAGATATTTGGGTGCTTGGGAAAAATGCGCTCTGGTAAAACTGAAAACTTTGTAGCTTGTGTGCTAAAATTGGCTCTTACAGAGAGAATGTTCTTAAAGCTATGCTGCTTGAGAAGGTGATGAATAGGCCAAGTAACCTACCAGACAGTAATTTCTCAGCATACTTTTACCACCTCTCTTAGTGTGGTATCACTGTTAGGGTATCATTAGCTTAAGGCTATTCATAACTCATTTGGAGGTCCAGGAAGCCAAAGAGCAAAGGAGGTGACTTCCTACAATGAGAGAAGAACAGCTGGTTGGCAAAAACTGTCCTTAGAGGAACTTTTGACATGAATTGTTCCGATGAAGAGGGGAGCAGCTGAGGTGGCCTCTGTATACGGGATTAGTGCTTTCTCCCTAGAAACTAGCATATGTGAAACACACTTCTAGCAGAAGCGGCACATTGTTCTTTTCATCCGCCTTCTCCAGTTGCTTTCCCCAAGCCCTGTTTGCCTCTGATTTTGTCATCATCCTGAATTTTAACACTTCTTC